GGTGTGCTGAAGAATTCGCTCGCTCCGGCCGCATGTGGCTCATACTCATCCATGAGAGTTGCGTGTGTCTTCAACTCGAGTGCAGCTTGGGAAACTAACTGGGAATCGGACTAACGTTTCGACACTGTCGTTTCTAATTTATTAGCATACGCTGAAAAACTTTAAATTAATTCATTGATTTAATTAAATACACTCTGATTTCGAAATCTTCATGAAAAGTGCTAGCTAGCGAAGGAAGTCCTCTAGAGATATGTACGCTGTTTCTGTTGCAGGTCGTCTCAAGAACTTGTCTGAACGAGCTGTGCGAAAAGTCAAAACGTTTGTGAGTCGACCAATCAAGGAAAGCGCTTTGCAGCGCTTCATCACTAAACTTGAAGCAAGAAAGGAAGCTGAAGAGTCTGGAAGGATTTCGGTGCGACTAAGGATTCTTTTCTAATCCGATCCGAGAAAAAAATGATGAGTACCTTTTCTATTCTCAGGGACGTGAGCTGAAGCAAGGTGATTTGCCCTTCCCGAAACCAATACAGCGGACGAAAAGCAGAGAATTCAAAGAAGTGAGATTGAATTTGTCCATCTTTTCTCCTTTGAAAAGGATATTTTGCGTTATGCGGATAGTTATTTCTAGAAGTCCAACGAACGAAGAGAACCCGATACTGTCGATTTGAAGGTGAAAATCTATTTTTCCTAGTTTCGCATCGAATTGAGAAACGGAATATTTTAGAGTGTTGCTCAAATGCCCATCTTGTGCTCTGGAGGCGATCTGCCAAGTGGATGTAAACCAGTAACTGGTAATAAGGACAACAATGGGAGGCTTTTTATTGATGACTGCCAGCCTTTCTGGACGGAACAACGAAAACCGACGGAGGCCGATTTGGTAATGATTACTATAGGAACTTTACTCATGAAAACATCGCATTGGGCGCTATCGCAAGATACCGGGGCATTCTCTGAAACTGAACCTAGGAGGGGCTATTAAAGGCAGCGATCACGATATTTTCAGGAAGGGTTTAGAGGGACGTGGTGCTCAGGTGGCGAAAAAAGCAGAGAAATCCGTCAAGAAAACGCAAAACGGGACCCCTTTTTTGGCCGTTGGTTTTCACTCATGAACAGGTAACAGCTCAGAAAGCGGACGTATGAACGAGTTCACGCAACGCGTTTGGTGGCACCATGCCAAACCACGCTCCAATCGAGTTGCTCCAGTTGTGCCGCTGCTGGCAACGCAGCTCGTCCAAATCACCAACTAAACTAGTGGCGGATCGCTTTTGGGGCGGAGTGCTTTCGAAGTCCTGCTCAGCAACCAGCGCACCTTTCGTCGTGAAAGCGCTACACCTCGCTTCCTGGCAGCCAAGTAACTGATTCGTGTGGTGCATATGCTTCCCGATGCGCTCCTCTTTATCGTAATCGCTGCCTTTAACTTCAGGGAAAATGAAAATCGCTCTTGTGTCACCCTAGTACACCTCCTGGATTCCTCCAAATCCCGCCTAATGCTATAGTCCATTTCGAGATCCGGACATGGAGGTGTTCATGTGGTTCAAATGCGTTGCCAGCAATAACACATATTGTTTGTGATATCGCTCAGCTGTACATCTACGTCGGTCACACCGCCCCCCCCCGAGTACGATTTCCCGCTCGCGCAGTAACAAGAAGGCGAAGTCGCGGAGAGTCTCCATGTCCGACTGTGGCGTTGTTGCCGCGACTGTTCGTATGGGGCATCCTAAATTCGCCGCATCTACTTCCGAGAAGAAGTGATGGAAATACGCCAACTGGTTCCGAAACAAGACTCGTACACTGAGCGGAAATGGTTAATCCCGCCTGAGATACCGCACCATGCACAGACATCCAGTTCAAGTTGGCAAGTCAGGCGTTGTTGTCAGTACAGTCGTTCCGCCGCGACTACTTCTTCCCACCTCTGACGCCTCCTGAGGTTCACCCACTCCTCCCCCTGCTTCAAACCATGCGCATCAAATAAGCCCGAACTGGTGCGTGCCGCTCCAACACAACGCTGGCTCAGACGCATTCTAAGTGCAATTTACTACGCCAATGCGCACAGTGTTCAGGATTGAAACACGATCATAAATCTAAAGATGTGTTAGGGGGAGCTACTTATGAATGACAGCTGCCCTGCTCATGCACTTTGTTAAACGAAAACTTTTTTTTGTTTTTTTTGTGAAACAAAGCGTACCCCTCGTGCTCTCCGGCTCTGTTGGCGGTTGGACCGGACGAACAGAACGGCATACACACAGACAAACCGACACACCGAAGTTCTGGTTTATATATTGAAGTGATAATACTCGCGCGCTCTTCTACCGCCGATCATATGCAGCACATCAATGGTTAATGAAGGATGACGAGAAGATGATATGAAGCATGGCATGAAGTGAATTGTTAAGGCCGACAGCGACACTGAAGATGTCCTTCAAATGAACGCTGAAGTGGCGCTGGATGTGTGCGATGGGAACATCAAGCTGGTAAACATGCCGACGATACCGTAAGCGGTCTTCTATTCTACACACCGTTTGAACATTAGCTTGAAAACAAATATGAGTGTAACGTATACGGCATAGACCAGAATCAGTTTTCTTTGAGTTCGATTCGGCCAATGCCGACTTATATTGGAACTTTCGTCTTCCAAGGCGAGGATGGTCTTGATTTCCACATTGAGACCATAAAGTGGTTGATCAAATACGAATTCCAAGATGTGTTCAAGTGGACAAGTCCTTTTACTGGGTAGGATGGCGTTCGAAAAAGATACAAATGTCTCATTCTCCTGGCTTCAAAGTGCGCAACAAAGGCGCTAGGGCCTTGCAAATTCCGCTTCAGTCGCTTCAATTTGTTCTCGCACACTAGTCTATGGTACCACGTTGCACTCCTTCGTCCGTCCTCTTTCCCCATTCTCAACCTTCCCTTTGCGAGGGCCGGATCGAAGAGACTTCTCAGCGGCGGGATTTTAATCGTAAATCCTCCCATTATTTCTCTATGCGGTCCCTTCTTTCGAGACGTCCTTTCCTTTTCAAAGCGGCGAGAAACCACACCGTCAATTCCTGGGCGCAGCTGAGCAGTTATTTTTGAGGTGGAAATTTGACCTCAACCCCATTTACGGCTTATGTGTACGAGCGAGTAATAGGAAACACTCATCTGAACCGAGAAGTAAATAATTCTGGAATCAAAGTGCATTTCTCACTTTAGGATAGTTCTTGATCCGATGAATGAATTGGCAGAATTGAAGCGCAGAGACAAGCTCTTCTATACAAGAGATGTGCTATTTGGGAATTCAGTCCGCAGTATGATTAATTTATACGGTATGTTTTGGTTGTTGGTGTAATACCGACTGCTCAGTTGACGAATCTTTCTACTGGACAAAATACTAACGTTCCTGTTTACCTGGTGCAATGACGTGTCTGTCTGTTCTATTCAGACCAGTCCCCCATCTATGAACAGCGACACCCGAGTATTGTTTGAGACGGACGAAAGGGGAAGGAGTGGTGGACGTTTCCAGAGACCCGCTCAAATACTTACTTATCGGGTCAAGTGCTTAGAAATCTCATCGCCCTTTCTGTTTTTTCCGAGTTTACTAGTACTGGCACGTCTCCAGCGCCAGCAACGAGAAGAGAAAACTGTCTTTCTGTCGCAACCGATTAATGTGATACAATGCTGACGATCTATGCCCATAGAAAATTAGATTTTGGCCAGCCACTGTTTCTGTGAATAAAAGACGAACTGTAGAGTGATGTCACCAAAGAGAGATTTTTACTGACAAAAACTAAAAGTTCATGTTGGGCTTTAACATATTTTTGAGCCGTTCAACCACATGCACGATCCGTCATCAATATGCGGCCATTTTGCAGCTGAACGAGGGCGCTAAGGTCTCACCATTTGGATCAGCGAGTCCACTATTGTTTACGACACACCACGTAGCCTGGCCCGTAATGGGAACTCTATCTACGCTACCTAGATGCACTTTGTCTCGCCTTCTTACATATGTAGTCAGTCCAGTTCCCACGAGCAAAAGAATCCCTTGATTCCAGGTGTTGGGAGAGGTCTCTTCATTTTTTCTTCACTGGCTTCGAGTCCACCCCCTCTCTCGTTCAGCAATATTTGGCGCGCGAGACGGCTGATCTCGATAAAAACGCGCCTTTCGAAACGACTTTTTTCCGATTCAACATGAGTTCATTTCAGAAGGGAATGTGTGACGGACATCGAACAACTGCCATTCAAACCTGTGGATGCGCAGTCAGATTTCATATCATTGAGGCGTAGTAGAAAAAGAAGGTCAAAGAAAAGTAAAGTAGTAAAGAACGAAGCGCAAAGTGATGAGCGGAGATATTCTTCGGGTGCCAATGACGGAAATACAGAATACAGAATAGAAAAAACGCAGAACGACATGGATGGAAATTTGGCACTGGAGTTGGATACCGTACAACGTTCTCCTCCACGTGCTCAGCCTACCCTATTAAATACTATGCAATACGATGCAAACCAACAACTATTTGCAATTTCAAAATCACATTATTTTCATCCGCTCCTACAACTCCAACAGCTGAGTGACTAACTACAGACAAAGGTGAAATTGAAATCGTTATTACAATTATGTGGGGCATACCCGTCCCATACTCCGCACGCGGTTGAGGGAGGCGGCCCAACACGAGACTAGGCAACAGCGACTGGCGGCGACAAATATTAGCGCCGCAACGGCAAAACGTTTGCCGTCCACACAGCGATCCTTTGTGGCTGAAAGACGAGTGCTGACAATCGCCTTGTCGTATGCGTCCTCGCATCGCACAACTAAATGCCGCCACGCATAGTCGGTCTGTCGACACAACGACGCCAAACGTCCGCATTATAGCCCGCGCGGTCGCAAATGAAGGCGACGCGTCACCCCCACTGACAAACCCAGGAAAACATTGTGACTCGCGATTTTGCAACGCTGGTATTGTCGAATAGTCTCCAATTTGTAGTGTGGAACTAGTAGCTGCTATTGCATTCTTCGTGCGACATCTGTCACTGATTGTTGTCTGTCGCACTTCTGACCATCGATACGGTCAAGCTAATCTTATTGCGGACACTTGCGACCTTGTGTGCTGTCGTCGGACTCGACCCACTATGCATGCGGCCTTACATTATAGCTATACTAGTACGCGTCCCATTCGACTCGCTACTCGCCACGTTCTTTCTGTTCCTGTATTTTTTTTCAATCGACTTATCCCGCTGTTTAGAGCGCCGTGTAATATCGAACTAATTTTCTGCTAATATTCTGACTGTGCGGCCTCTGTTTTAAGAGGTAATTGATTTTGAAGATGGCAGTTGCGCTTCCCACATGTTTCCGTGAATATCTCTAAAGTGCCAACCATTGCCCGCTGTAGTTTCCCTTGACCTTATCTTTCAAATAATTCACTTCTAATGAACTTCGTTATGCGTATAAACATTGTCTTGTTTTATGTTCCTGTAGACGCTGGGAGAGATTCCCTCTGGCATGTTTGAAGCTTGAAGTTCCCTGCTGCATGCTTTCCACGGAGTGTACGGGCGGGGGGGAGGGGCAATACATGAAAAGAGTCACTTCGCCCATGGCGCCCATCCCCAAATTTCATAATGGTTCACGATCAAGGACGTCGTGTTTGACGTGCATCATGTTCTCATAGGAAACTCTTCTGATGCCTTCGGGTAGAAGGTTATTATGGAGTTTCTAGATAGGCTGGAATGTGCTCCTGAGAAATCAGTTATACTCATTCGGTTTGAATTTTGCAAAGTGCTTATTCCATTTTAGTATGGTTAGAGAGTGACTCTTTTTTGTCCTGCCTGTGTAACGGTTACGCGACTATTTCTTCATGTTTTCTCCCACAAATGGTAGGAGCACAAACGATTAGAGATTGGCGCCTGGCTCGGGTCCAAATCGTAAACGGGAAGGTGAGAGCCCCAAGGCGAAGCGGAGGGGAAGGGCTCGGGATGGGTTATAGCGAATAATAAGGTGAGCCAATAACGGTGTGGCAGATTCGTGCCTGCGAGACCACAGTAGTCATGAACCATTCGTTAAGCGAGAGAGCGCAGGCGAGAGCTTCAGATTGAGGCGGTTCAACACTTTGGAGCCCATGCAGCCCATATGTGGGCTGCAGTCCGGACCTTATAGCCCACATTCTGGAAATAATTATGAAGTTCTCTTTCTTGTATTCTTTTTCATTTTAATCGGTAGGGGTTCCTCTGCATCATACGGTAGGCTTCTCTTTCCATTTTGCTTGATAAGATTCCCGAAAGTTCCACTGAAGTCTTCGCGGCCGCAAAACGTAAAACATACGCGGTCTCTAACGTTTCAAAGGACCGAGTTCATGTATACTCGATATCGAGAGTTGGGGTAGGCGTGTCACCGGAAGTGACGTGCACTTGATAGAAGCTATGTGGATAAGCTGCTTCCAACATACATCGCTGGATAGCATGCTGGCAACAGCTTATCCACGCAACTTCTATCAAGTGCACGTCACTTCCGGTGACACGCCTACCCCAACTTTCGGATATCGACTGTAGACGTTTATTACACATTAGATGTTCAGATGTGCTGAGTCCGACCGTTCACCACTCGTTTTCGCCGCGCGCGACGGCACTGCGCAGCAAATGGCTGCTCCAGAAAGGGATGACCCTGTCCTAACTCGTAGTCCGAACAATGTCAGACGAGAGCTCTACGAGGAGGATTTACAGCCAATCCATGCCCTGTTCATGATTAGTATTCCATCAATCAAGTGCAGCCCAGTGAATCGAGACGAAAGAAAGGTAGGGCTACCCCATAAACATAACAGCGACGCAAAAAGAGAAGCTGGGGTTATATACTCTCCCCACCGGGGAAGGGTTACCATCCCAGTGTGCCTTACTGGATGGATGTTAAAGCAACAGTTCAGGGAGGGTCCGAAAATTTCAATGCCACTACTACTGAGGGATACACGAGCCCTAGTGAAGAACATATGCAGTGGAAATAATAAACGAACTTACCTCAGAAACTCAAAAACAGGGTGGAAAGTCCCTCAAACATGGGTGTTCTTGGGGATTTCCCCAATCCCGCCCCCTTGCCGGCCGTCATTGGACGCGTCGGCAATCGTGCTCGTTTTGGGACCACAGGGAAAATTGATTGAAAAATGGAGCGCGTTTACCAGGCCGGACGCATAGTCGGTCGGACGACAGCAACGATCGCAAGTGTCGCACAGCATTGGGTGCGTATCGATCTGCGACACTGCGACACTTACGACCGCTGCTGTCGGACGACAGCAACGACTGCAAGTGTCGCAGATCAATACGCAGCTACTATTCCACACTACAGTGGGACTTTCGAAATACGGTCACGCGCAGTCACGTGTTGTCTGGGTTAGCATTGGGTGACCGCGTCGCCTTCCATTTGACCCGTTATGCCGACAGTCCTGCGGCAGCTCGTCTGTCCGTCCCGACCGCCTATGCTCCGGCCAAAGTTTGGCGGGCACGTTCAGACAACTCGTCCAACGTGCGTCTTTATCCATTGCTGAGCGGCAGAGGGAGAGTACCTGTCTAAGACCCTCCCCGACGTTTTTTTCCAGTTTTTCATACATTAATCGTCTGGTTTTCATCTACAACTTCATTATTGGTGGTTTTTTCCCGCGAAACCGTTCCTGAACTGTTGCTTTAATGACGAGTTCGATCGTTACCCGCTCGGGTCCAACAAGAAAAAGCGAGAAGAGTCGGGGGTGGAGGAAGCATCAATGCAAACCATCACTCTTGTCGCATACACTATACTTCAGAACAAGTCACGCCACGATGGCCAGTTGCATCCCCCCCCATGTGGTAGCATACTGCGGCGTTTAGTTAACGCACGTACCTTAGTGAATGGGTTTAGAGGACAGGGTCCAATGTCGTCACGGCGAAGAACAATGCGAAACTCCGTCCTTAGCGAAAGAGAAAATTGACCGCCCTTTTTGGCGCGTTGACCTGCTGGTCCAGATGGACGCGCGAAGAACCGGGCGCCCAATGCGTGACGAGATTGCGCAACGCGTGCTGGGCAGCAAACAGCAGGCATGGCGCCCTAACCGCGCTGCGGCTGGCAACACGGCTCGCCCAAGCCACCGATGAATCATGGGGCGGGGCGGCGCATGGGGCGGAAGGGCGCAATGGTCCTGCTCAGCAACCACAGCACTGTTCGCAGTGCAAGCGCCACACATCGCTTCCTTGGCGGCTGCCAGTTGCTCTGGAGCCAGTTCTCGCGCAGACTGTAAAATCTTTTCGACCCACTTCCTTAAAATTCGGGGAACTTTCCACGGATTTATGTATGCGTCTTGGGACGACCTCGAGAACAAAGCACGCTTTCACTTCAAGACGAAAACTTATTGAAACTCGAAAAGATGGGTGAACTGAGAAAAAATAAGCATGAAAAAAGCATAGTCTTTTGAAACATAACATCGAAACCATTCCGGAGAGCTTGTTAGGTGAATTACGATCAAACCGACTTCGGCGATTTCGGTGTTTCGTTCCGTTCGAGCACTCTTCTTCGGACTGTGCGTTAACGCTAAGCGGCATCGACTTCCCTCCAATGTATGCGGCTAATTCTGCCCACATTTCTGACCACAGATTATTTTGTGTGCCTCGATACTCTCTACGCCGAGTCAGATTCTGCGAGTCCCTCGCTCCGACTCGCAGCGTCACGCGGCGCGCTCGCGGCAATGTATCACTCATGCTCGGTCACGGCAACGCGACCGCAGACCTAGCGCGCGATTCGCACGCAGTCTTGACACCTCCGACTAACAGCAGACACATGAAAGGTGCAAAAGTATCTTCGGGGACATCCTAATCTAAAGTTACAGGTGTGACCACTACTCGTACCTATTAATATTTTTAACTTGATAAGTTGAGTATCTGTAATCTTCGCCTTCGGCCCAGTATCGCTACCGAAGACTGCACGCAACTTTTTGGTACGCATCTGTATATTCGGGCCATAAATGCTGCTATCTGCTTGACGCTTCATTTCACTGACCTCCATCGCCATGCACCTCGAACATGGGCCTCCTACATATCGCAATTTTGTGGCGGATCTAGGGTCCGCCTCCCTGTCTGTATAACCTCAGAGCCTAGTTCCTGAAGATTTGCATATACCGCTCTTGTGCGGCTTCCATTTTCAAATTTGCCCTTTGTTAATCATTGCCCCTCCTCCTCCCAAAATACATTTTCACCGAACATAAACTTCGGCCACATACCTGTTGTCGCCAGAGCCAAATACTTATACTCTCTTTCTGGTCCATAACGAAAATTGAGCCTTCATAACGAGTCACTGCCAAAAGACGGTTTTTGTTGAAATGGCGCGTCACCATCGCAAAGATCTATAAAGTCACAACGGAAATGAATTTGAGAACTTGTTCAATTGTTCCTAAACTTATTATTATTAATGGTGGGGGCGCGGTGGGGCGTTACTGCTGTTTACAGGTTATTATGTCACATCTTCCAGCCTATTATTACATTCATATCTGATTCAATCTTCACAGATGCCAATAACATCCCGTGCTCAGCAACCCATAAAAGCACCAGCTGGCTGTTCTCGTACTTGATTGACTGCTTCTTGCATGGAGCGATACTTTCGGTTCATTAAAGGAACTCATTTCTTGTAAATATCGGTGTACTTACGTGACTGAGAGGAACCTTTCCCTGATAGAGATCGCAACTTCTCTTTCAGAAATGCGTGGTTCCCGCCAGCACAGCGTAATACGCCCTCACGCACTTCAACCGTGCAACCTATAAGTTGGCAAGCCTTAGTAGCGTCGCGTTGCAAGCCGCCTACAACCCTCCCGGCGACCTGTACGCTCACCGTTGCAGTATCTGCGTCGCTCTTCTGCTATACTTTCTTGTGTCCTAGTCAGTCTTTGACCTCAATGCGCATTCTCTATCAGACTGCCTGTCACCTTTAGTCTCCACAGGACTATTTGTCTCCCTTGAACGCAGTGATTACGATAGGTTCAAGGAGGGTTTATAGAAGACTGGTGGTGCTCAATGGTACGCCAGTGGCGAAAAAAGCGGAGAAATCCGTCAAGAAAACGCAAAGGGACCCCTTTTTTGGCCGTTGGTTTTCACTCATGAACAGGTAACAGCTCAGAAAGCGGACGTATGAACGAGTTCATCGCAACGCGTTTGGTGACAGCATGCCAATCCATGCTCGTCGAGTTGCTTCAGTTGTGCCGCTGCTGGCAACGCAGCTCGTCCAAATCACCAACTAAACTAGTGGGCGGATCGCTTTTGGGGCGGAGTGCTTTCGAAGTCCTGCTCAGCAACCAGCGCACCTTTCGTCGTGAAAGCGCCACACTCGCTTCCCTTGGCAGCCAAGTAACTGCTTCGTGCATATGCTTCCCGATGCGCTCTCTTTTTATCGTAATCGCTGCCTTCAATCTGTTTCGGACTGCCTCTCTCCCAGGGCTTGGCTAGCCCATCCATCGCAGAAAAGGATTTTTTTCGAGTTTTCCGTTTTTGTCGGCTTCTCTTCCACCATTTTTTAAAACCTATGTTCTATCTGAAATCTCTCCCTCTGAAGTCTACTTCATATTAGACTGATTCTGAGCCAAAGCGAATCAGAAACGGCATCTGCCCTTACCTTGATATGCAGCTTCTCGTGAAGATAAGCCGTTGATTTATCAATGTTATCATCTGACGCACCATCCGACACAAGACACAGGACCTATAAAATTCGAAATGTTGTTTGTTTCCCTCATTAAAGGATGAAATATAAAGATGGTGTTGTAATCGCTTATTAAAATGCGCCACCTTTTCACATCTTTCCACCTTTATTCCGAATCTGAGTGGCATTTCGACATTGATAAGCCCTATGTCTTGCTTTAGCTGATGTACGAGTTTTTATCCTCTCAGACAACTTAAGTACCGATTAGCCGATTCCGAAGGAAGATAAAGTTGGCCCGGATGACGTACTACCCAGAAATTTGATCCCCGAACCGTGCACGTGCTACGCAGCCCCCTCCGCCATTGCATCACTTCTGTCCAGAAGGGGGTGGAAGAGCCTATGAAACATAGCGTGCGATAAGACAGCAAAAAGAAAAAAAAACGTTTAGTCAAGCTCTCTGGAATTTTTTAAGAGAATCCCACCATGAAGTCGAAGAAAAAAAAGAAAATAATGAAGAAATAGGAGGAATACACCAGCTCGAAAGGCACGCGGGCTATCTTAGGGTGCAGGACGATGTGCGTTTTGCAGCGAGGAAAGCGGCATGCATCCGTGACACTGACGCCGCGGCTCGCCCACCCTCTAGCCGTCTGACTCTGACCGTCCATTAAAGCGAATGTTAGCGTTGAAGAGACACCGATGAGAGTCGCATCAGAGCGGAAATCAGCGAGCAAGGAAGGGGTTTGGGCTATTTTTATCTTCATCCGTGCATCATCGACCACCTTTACTTTTTTTGAAACGCTACCCTTTCATCGTAAAGCCCTGCGTTTGGACCGCTCCCTTCATATGTTTTCACTATACCGGGTCTCTATAAGGTTACTACCGCTGTCCGCCCAGATTGTAGCAATCTTAATCTTCATTATATAAACCAGAACTTTGGTGTGTCGGTTTGTCGGTGTGTGTGTCGTTCTGTCCGTCCGGACCAACCGCTCACAAAACCAGGGAGTACGAAGGGCAACACTTCGTGATGTTGATGTCATGATCATGATAAACCCACAGCGGCTATATAAACACCGATCGAGCACACTCAGTCTCATTCTACATGGTGCTGCCGTGGCAGCCGGATGAGCGGGGGAGGGGAGAGGGAGGGGGCAAGAAAGGGGAGGCTGGAAGGGGGAGGGGAGAGAGAAAGAGGGAGGGAAGGGGAGAGGAGAAAGGGAGGGAGAACATGGCGCTGCTATGCGCCGGAGAGAAGGGGTATAAGGAGGTATAACACATTCAATAGTGAGGGTGCTTAATGGAGTACGTATTGCTGCTATTCCGTGGTTCCTCCCTAACTGTGATGCGCGCAATAGCGGGCGGAGCAAACCTGGTATGATTATATAGAGTGAGTCGCACTCACCTGTAACCGATCGTGTCGTGGTGTCGGCATGAGTTTATGTTTCGTTTCTTCACATCTCTCATATTTTGTTCCCGATAAAGTAAAAACCTGAAGCAAATGAGAGCGCTTTAGCGAGCATTGTCGCCCCACCAGTGTACGACATCCGCTCAACACCTCCTAAAATCGTCAAATTAGTCAGAGGAATATGATTGTTCATACCGGTTGAAAAACCCACTTTGTACACTTTTCATCGAGTAGTACTTGTCGAAACCGAAAACGACGCTCGGTTGCAGAGCATATTGCACTACGGCAATGCGAGATCTCCCAGGACCAATGTCTACATCCTCGAGCACATTGATGATATTTGTTTTAATCTAAAAAATATTACAATTTTGGCTCGAATTTCTGCCCATCCTTTGACAGCCCTTCAAATTAGACACATATATTTCGAGGGTAGGGTTGCGATAAAGGACTGGAAGTAGAACCACTAGGAAGTGCACTTGTGAAGAGAAAACTCAAGGAAGCGGCCTGAATCCGCAAAAAAAACCCCTGTTTCCCCTTTGAGATCTCCTGTGGAGAGCCTCAACATCGCCGACGTCATCATCATAAGCTGACGCGTTGCTCTGTCTCCCTCATGAAAGGGTTGGAGTCGATGGCCAGCTATCAGCAGCCATCGAAGAAGGGCTGGAAAAGGGAGCCAAAGGCATCTAGAAGTCAGGTGAAGCCTCGTTTCCACGTTAAGAGCTCCTTGGCCACAAAAGCGCCACGTCTTGACTCTGTAGGGACCTACTCTCCGTTTAAAGTAGGCATTTTCCTCTCCTCCAAGATCCAATTTATCGGGCCACCTATACCCTGTTTCCTGAAACCCAGATTTTAGTGCAAAACAAACACACAAAATGTAAGTTTTCTTTACCAAGGAAATGCCTAGCCGGCTACACTTGTGTCCTATCGGTTGTAACTAATTACAAATACCATTTACCAACTATCAGCTATCACTACGGATCACTAGTTATTAGATTTAGTTAGGAGGCCGTCGTCAGTTATGGTGTGTGGTCTGCACTCAACGCGCATCTTGTTCTCAGGTACTTCAAATGTTTTGCTGCTTCTTTCTCGAGTCTACTTGAGTTTTGGGGAACCGTGCAAGAAAGGTAATGGTTTGTTAGCAACAGAAAATACATCTTGGTGCCTTCTCTAGAAGAACTCGATCGGGCATGTGAGCCACTTGCAACGTTGCGTTCGGCACGTTTCAGGCTTCCTCACCGGCAGCCGTCGAAAACACTTGTTTTTTGAACTGAGCCAAAATTACTTACTGCTTCAAAATTTGTAATGCCGATACTACTCGAGCTGTCCACTAAGAACAGCAAATCGATCGGAGGAAGTTGTCGTGCTGGATGATTAGTTGGTAGGTGAC